GGACAGTATCATGACTGGATTGGCACCTTGAAACACAAGGTGTATGACACTGATCCATGATTCACCTACCAATCCACAGTTGTTACTGTTTTGACGAGGCACATGTCTCATCCTGTTATGTCGATCGATTGCAGTAAACTAATTGAAGTTGCGTCTGCAGATAGCTAACTGTTGGTCTAGTGTTAAATCAAGCCTCAATATACGCGATGTAAAAATGTATGAAGGAGCTTCTCAATAAGATAGGTCCATCAAAAGAAACAATTTACGCAGTCGCCGACTCAAAATTCAGTGTCTCATTGAAGCAGCACTCTACTCGGTACTCCTTGCATCCACAGCATATATATATTCCCAGTAATTCAGAATGAAGAAATGAGCTACACAATTTGTCTAACAAGTACAGAGTCAACATAATGCAGGAATATCATCAATATATGTCTTGGGTCTACAGATTCCGATTGACAGAGTGAACCGAGGATACTGTCACACAGACGAAAGCATTTAGGTCCGAACTGATTTGTGATAAATTTTTCTGCTCTGAAACAATCTCGTCTCATAGTCTTACATCTCTGTCTTAACGTTTGGAGTCTGAGATAGTGGATATTGCGTACTTAGTGCTGAATCATTCCTGATGCCGTAGCCCCTCACCCCTCTAGATGCGCTCGGTGTCATGCGGCAAGTCTCAATCACAGTGGCAATTAGGGAAAAACATGACGATGTCAATATCCTAAACCTTTGGTAACTTCAAATCTGCCAGTGTTCGTCTTCTCAGTGTATTATTCAAACTACCGAAAGGAATTAACATAACCTAACTTCAAAATGGGTCTGGTCACATGATACATAACATCTACACTTTCCATATAATAGTAGTAAGTAGTAAACTTAGTTACATTCGTGTAATTACTCTGTCTGCTGTTTGCGCTAGGCAGTTCTCCCATTTCAAGTAAAGATGACTACAGAGTTCCCCATCAAAAATTGTTCCATAGCCATCGTAATTTAAATTTAACAGTAAGTACCAGGAGCCCTGGCATTCCATGAGGAATGTTACCTCTGATGTACGTCCCACTGTGTGTCATCTGGTAAAGTGCTTGCAAGATCATCACAATTTGCGTATTTCCTCATTTCTGTTTTAACAATTACACCTAAAGTGATTAGCTGATGTACTTATTGGTTAATAAAAATGGAGAAAAACAGTACTATCCTATGCCTCCATCCAGCATAGTAGCGAGTCATTTACAGGGAACAATCAGCTTTGCCAACCTCCCACAGCGGAATACTGGATACCGCAATAAATGTCCCACGTGCTAGTGCCGAGTATAACAGACTGCGTGTTGAATTCCGATGAGGAAACAAGTAGGAGGTGAAAATACAATTACACATACCATTCAATAGTCACAGTTATATAAATGGTGAACTGGAATAGTTTGCAACTAATGACAGTGACTGCAGTTGCAGGTGTTTGTTCGAAGATTCCGTAAACCAGTTATAATTTTCATATAGATAAGACACTGTCTGAGTGAGTCTAGATGTGACGAACTTCTACCTATACTATTCAAAGATAGTTGAGTTTAAGAATGCACTGTTTAGCTCAAGCTACTAAGAATACGTTGTGAATACAGTCGTCAATTAAAACTTGCAACCGCAAACCCTCATCTTGTTCAGGGTTCCGGTTTTGCACTGCGTTTTCGTTAATAGCTGGGATGTATCTAAACTGGATTAACGTATCACATCGGTCAACTGAAGCGGAACAAGAGTAAGCGTTCTCATTTCCTTATCTGATCTCTCACGGAGTACGTGAACGATCACTGCTGTCTATACTGTTTTGTGTGCGCACATTCCATTCTTTTTTAGAACTATTGTTGTGAAGCAGTGCAGTTAAATCGGTAGACGGGTAAAATGACGATTTACTTATCCTTTGATGGTTTTGAAGTTAATTTTCACCTTACCCATCTAAGGTACTTGCCAACCATATGCCTTTTTACCAGTGATAAATCCTTGTTTCTTGTTCATTGATGTCTTACATTCACTGAAATATATTTACCTACGAGACCGTGTTTGATTGCCATGGTCAGGGCAGTTGTTGGGTCATATATCTAAACCCAAGTTCATGGAACGTGGCTCTGTTGTGTCAGCGGTATACGAGTGGAAACCATGATCGCAATCAGTAGTTTAAATAAAAGCTCTTCCGAAAGTTTGTTAGTAAATTATGGTTCCATTTGAAAGGATTCAGCATAAGTACATCTAACCAGACGGCCATCACAAGTCGGAGAAGGTGTGCGGGAGCGATGTCACGTGTAAGGTACATCGCTTAAATTCCGAAGCATTCACTGAGATCTACTAGACTATGTACCGGTGGCTTCCGACTGGTCTGTTACCAGTGGCGGTATGTTCCGCAATCTACCACAATCTACCGCAATGCGGTTAAGTCTTCGTTCCTTTCGGCCACTGTCCTATCTATCACTGAGACGAACCATCGCTTTTTACGTTGAGATGATCACGCAACTACTGATTTTTGAGTAGTAGCAAATTGATTAAAAGAATTCAAACTTTGAGCCAGGACTAGCAAACTAGCTTGCAAAAGCTAGGGGAATTAATAGTAGTCACTGAATGGGGACATCTAATCGAAAGCGCTACGTAATTGGTCCGCTCAATTTAAATTCTGCTGAGTAGCGTGCTCACCGTCATTGGTCGCGGAGGCCTGCTGAGTGGGTAGACCGGCGATCTGAACAGACTTTTATGCCCACAAGCAGAATTTTTAGCCGACAAGTGATCGGATCTGTCGTGAACAGCAGGCAAAATCTGACCACTCTTGTGTGGCATCCTGGTGGGATGCATTGTGGGAACTGGTGTAATGACTACAGAATAATAGGCGTGGCAACAGTAACGCTTCATAATCTTCCACACACCACTGCAGCAGCAACCAGGTCAATGATTTCGAGCTCTTACGTCAGTCGTTTTCCCAATGGCCGTTGATCGACACAAGTAAGACAAGCTTTGCACAACAGAGGAATTCTGCGACTGGGGTGTCCTGGCCTTGAACCCCCCGGAGCACAACTGTTGTTGAGATGATGTTCAGGTGCAGCTCGGCAGAAAGATGCATCCTAGAAGTGGCCGTTAATTAACTGCTCATAGAGATGCAACCCGTTATTGTTTCGTCGAAATAGACATTTGGTTTCAAATCTAAACGGTCTGAGAGCATAGCATATTGTTTATAATTACAAAAGTCACCATACAACGTTTTGTAAAACATGTTATGGTCTTCGTAACCATGCTTAAACTTAACTAGCGCTCTCACAATTCTCCTCATACGGGGATAAGGGAGTTCGCTAAAAGCGCATTCAATCAACTAATCAGCAGATACCTAGAAATGTAGGCTGATTGTCAGCTTTCCTTATACTACTTTACTGCTCCGTGCACCCTCGCTACACTACAAAGGGTCTACGCGACCGCTTGTTAGTTTCGAGCAGAGTTTGGAATTGCTAGTCCAATGAATGAAGCGATCAAGTAATTAACCTCAAGTAAGTTTTATGTTAAACAGGAGGATATTACTTGTTGCTTGCTCGAACACACGACACCACACGACGCATGTTGACTCCATTTCATCTCCTCAGGTAGAGATATCATGCCTCGGACGCAGGACCATTAAGAAGGTAACCGAAACCTCTAGCCTTTTAGCCACCGGATCAGGAAATATAACGGTTGTCACGACGGTTAATGGTTGATTGGAGTGTCACATTGAAATATTCGTGGTGTGATTGGATTACAATGCGCAGTCTCAAGGTTGGCCGCGATTCGCGTTGTTACGTGACAATGCTGGGGTCGCTGGTCATACGATCATTGTTGTAAAAGGCACGGTTCCAACATGAGCTGCTGATATGCCTGGGCTTCACCATGTCTCACATTATACCTTAGGAACCTCAAAACTCGAGCCACGACACTGGCATATGAGAGTAAGATCCCTGTGTGTGCACCACGGTCTAAAGTCAACATAGTTTAGTAAAAGATAGTCAGCCAATGTTTAGGCTTCATTTTTTCCATTCAATGGACTGAATCCAGCTGTGACCACTTCCAAGTAAATTGATCGTATTGCAGATACACAACAAATGAATCGCTCTGTGTTTTCACACTAGTCTCTGTCGACCATTATTACTTCGCGGTTTTGCACGATTACCAAAAAGATGACCTTGCGCGAAGCAGATATTGTCTACGCTTTGTGATAGCATGTGCATTTGGAGAAGGCAGACTGAATCACATCGATCAAAACTCTTTGGTATCTTAGCGAGAGTGGTAGACAGACCCGCGACAGACACGGATGAGAATTTTCATGTGGGAATGAAAGGACTTCATCAATGTTATGCCCACATTTTTTCCAGAAGTCATAAACGTTGCACTTTGTGACTTGGGAATGTTTATCATTTAGTGGCTA